ATCGCTCTCATCGTGGAGCAGCTCAAGAGCCGGGGCCTTTTTGACAGCTTCCGCCGGGACTGCCTGGCAGACGTGGACACCAAGGTAGCTGAGGCCGCCTGACCTCAGGGGGGCCGGGCCGGGCTGGGCGTGAGGCCGCCAGGCTTACACCTTCGCCTTTCCAAAGCAGAGAGAAAAACAAAAGGTACCTTAAAAATCTTGGCAGCTGGGAGACCGCTTGGGGCAGCACAGGAAGGTTTCTGAGGGACTCCCACGTGGGCTCGGCTCCCAGCCCCATCACTATAATGTGCGACTTAGCTTAGTCGCTTCTCTGAAGTTGGGGATCCAATACCAATTTTACAGCCTAGACCCCATCTTTCCCAAGATGGGACTCCTTTAAGCCCTTCAGTAAGAAATCTCAATGTGTTAAGAACATTGGAGGAAGCCCGGTTAAGTAAGCCTTTGAATGAATGGTTTGAATGCACAATTATCAGCCTGTAATAAGTTATTTGTTCTTCTTCTCTAGCTCAGTAATTTGCAGACTTGAGTATGTAGTTAATTAAGGTACATTGTTGTAGAACCAGCGCCCTTATTTTGTACTCCATCATTGATTAGAAGGGATTTGGTACCTATTTGAGATCCTAATGCAATAGATCAGCCTGTTAGTAAATGCCGTTTCGCTTTACGTACTTGACAAGGGTCATCCGTATTTAGTGAAAACATGTGTGTTAAGTGTCAGACATGCAGTAGTTGCTGGAATGTTCATTTACTCCCTTTTCAGAATCTTCTTTAGCGAGACTATGGTTGTAGATTTAGGCGGCTCTCTTACTGAACGGCATCTAGGGAGGTGATTTCTCCTCTCTGAGCCTGTCTTGGAAATCTTTTCCCTAGCTCACAGCAAGATTGTGAGCTTAAAGCTAGCCCTAAAGGAGGAAAAGACCTAGTCCGTGTACTCGTTTAACATTTACTAGCAGAGTTTGTGGCTAAGGAACAAGCAAGTCACTACCCAGCCCTTAAAGCCTGTATTCTAGGGTAGAAAACTGACATGTAAACCAGGTTACTGTATATAGTAAGTGATACTGTTATTCTCCAAGATTAAAAATTCAAGGAGAAGTGCTCTCCTTGAAATGAGTTGTTTAATTTTCCTTAGTTAAGGGTCCTAGGTGCATGTTGACAGAGCTTTCACGTTTTCGGTAGTGGGTGTTCTCAACTTCTCTTCACAGGTTCTCCATTCATGTTTCTTACGTCCCGTTAGGTTTTGTGTGGCTTAATCAATGTAGTATACGTTAAAATTGGTATTGAGAATCCATTAGGGGAAAGGCAATTGGAGCCTTCACCACTTAAAACCTCCTTAGATGTTCCTTCTGGTAGTTAGCACGTGGTTTTAATTCTTGAAGGTACTTTGCTTTCATGCGCATCTCATCAAGTCCTTTGTTCTCAAAGTGTGGTCCTTGGATCATCAGCATCACCTGAGAACTTGTTAGATACGCATATTGTTAGGCTCCACTCCAGACTGCGTATGTGTTTACGGGAAGGTATACTGTTGATGTTTGTAATTTGCTTTGCAGTGCATGCAAGATAGAAGTAATTAGAACAAACTGATACATGAAGAGAGGGAAAGAGAGTGACAGTAAGTGTAGTAAAACATTAGTGGCAGGCACACTGGGTCCTCTCACTTCATGAACTGAAGGGATTACTCTGTATTGTTAGAGTCTGTTAAGGATTGGTGGTGACATTAGTTGTCCTTTGTCCTTTTTCAGTGAACCGTTCCTATGAAAAACTAGGTGAGATTTTGAATAGTAAAAGGTGTATCAGGACTGATGGTTACAAGTGACAAATCTAACTCCTGTTAAGCAAAGGGGAGAATGTTGACTCATGGGATGTAAGAAAGGATAGAATGAACAAACCGCCAGAGGGGTAGGGATGCATTTGGAACCAGGGGTGCTCCGCGAGGGCTGTCTTTCACGTCTGTCCTGTATAACTCTTACTGTCACTGCAGAGCAGAGTCATCCATTTGGTTGCTAGTATCTCTCGACTGCATCTTCAGCTTCTTCCTCTAGAAAGGGACTCTCAGCTCCAGTTTAAAAAACCTCAGGGAATGTCTGCATTGTCTAGACATGGGTCAGGCACCCACCCCTGTGGCCAGGAGAACATGGCACCCACTGCCCTGTCCTTGTGAAGAGGGGAAGATGGCGTCCAGAAAAAAGGAGTTGCTAGGCTGATAGTACACGGGTATCTGTGGACTTTGTTCCTCGCCTATCTCCCTGCCTCCTCTCTCCAGGTTTAGCGGAGAGTCTTTATGTTTCTGAGTCATGGCCTTTTGAAAGAGTCCACTGACAGAGTGGAGGTCTACTGATTCCTTTGTCAATTTTGTTTACCTGCCTGTTAGCAAACTTTTGCCACAATAACACTGTGTAATAAACCACATCTCAGTGGCTTATAACAAGCATTTGTCCTCATGCTGATGGGACTGCAAGGCAGCTGAAGTTCAGCTGGGTGGCTCAGCTGTAGGTGGCCTGGGCTTGGGTCCAGGCTGCGGGTTGGGGTGGGTCTGCTGCACGTGTACTCATCCTAGGTCCCAGGCCAAAGGGACAGGGGCCGCCAAGGACATACCCTCATAGAAGGTCACCAGAATGCAAGAGCCAAGCCAGACGGCACAACCATATTTAAGACGTTTTGTCACTAACAGTGCACTGGCCAGAGCAGATCACACTGCTAAACACAGCATCGCTGGGGTGGGGAAGTATTCTGTGCCCACAGTGGGAAGAGGGAGGAGTGAAGTGTGAAACAGCAGTGCACACCGTTACACCTGGTTTGGGAAAGAGCTCGTAGTGCCAGAAGGTCTTGGAGGCTCAGAACATGCATTCTTTGTGCTCATCAGGTCCCCTTCTGATCTTGTTCTCCTTGTCCTACGTGGGTCTAGGACATCTGAGATCAGTAAATGCCACTTGGGCTTCTTTTTGGACTTAACTTTTGTGTCCCTTCAGCCTCTCCTAGTGTTCCACAGGCTCTGACTTCAGTTCGTTCGCATTTGTGAGTCATGCTGAGCTTTGGGTGGCCCTTAATTTTGTGCAGAGGGCCTTCCTGAGCCCTTGTTTGTTGCTGAGGGCACCCTGTGAGGTAAGCGGGCAGTAATATTTATTTTACAGATAGAAATAACTGAGACTCAGAGGTTGGCTGACTTGTTGAAAGTCAGAGAGCTAGTAAGCAATGGAGCTAGAACCCATTTCCTTAGATCTGAAAAGAGCCTGTGTCTAACCTTGGCTTTGCCACATTTTACCCACGTGGGCAGGTGTTTTACTCTTTCTAAGTCTAAATGTCTAATCTCTTAAATGAGAATAGGAGAGAGCTAACAGGACCTCGATCCTATTTATTTGAAAAGTAAACGGGCTAATAAAGCATCTGGCATCATGCCTACCCACCATAAAGTAGGCACACATACTGGCCATTAATCCCTGCCCTGCGTGCTGTATGGTAATCTTCATGGATGTGATGAAAGTGTATTTAAGGACTTGAAAGTCTGCATTTCTATGAAGAGCAGTGTTCTGAATGACTGATTTCAAAAGTTTGGTGCATGTAACTTCTGACCTTGCCCCTTCTTTTTAATATTTTAGCCAGCTTACCAAAACCTGAGGCAGAAAGTGGATAATTTTGTGTCAACCCATCTGGACAAGCAGGAATGGAATCCTACGATGAACAAAAACCAATTGCGAAATGGTCTGAGGCAGAGTGTGGTTCAGTAAGTAAGCAGAATTGAGAGTGAAAAGGCAGCAATCACAAGTATGACGCGCAGGAAGGCCGATGCGAGTCACTGGTTAAGGTGGATGGTACTTTGTAGCAAATGTGACAGACAAGCTGCAGCAGACCCCTCCTTTATTAAAATTAAGGTTCAAGTAAGCAAAGAACTCATTAGAAATTCTTGCTACCTACATAGGCCTCCTGTGCACATCTCTACCAGGAAAAGATATTCCAAATTATAAAGATATATACCACGCTCTTTGGAGTTTTTCAGGGTAGTCTGAATGGACGCTGGAGTTTATACCAACATATCAATGTTTGGGTCTTGGGCAAAAGCAGCTGAACCTTTATTCTCACAAGGCTGTGTAAGTTATACGAATTCTCTGAACCCACATGGGCCCTCGAAGGTGTCAGGGCAGCTTTCAGGAAGGCATAAAGCCTTAGTAAAGTACGTCCTCCACGGTAGCAAACTGAACCTTGGCTAATGAGGTGCTGTTCACTGCTCATCCAAGTGACTTCTCAGTGTCACTGGGCACAAAAATGAAAGTGGCTCATGGAATCCGGTGTCCTAAGATAAGCTTTTTCTAATCTAGTCAGAATCATTTTTTGCTCTTAATGCCAGTGCTTAAGTTCAGGCTTTCTTGATCCACTAACTCTCTGGAATATCTAAAAGCTTGTGAAGACTTCCTCTTTAAAAACAGAAACATCAGGGAATTATGCTGAGTGAAGAAAAGCCAATATCAAGAAGATAGATGGGTGCACGATTCCATTTATATAACATTCGTGAACTAACATAGAGACAGAGATTAGATTCGTGATTGCCGGGGCTTAGGGATGGAGGGGCAGTGAGTGTGACTAGAAAGAGGTAGTTTGAAGAGGGTGTGGTACAGGTGAGTATCTTAACTGTGGTGCTGGTTATAGAAGCTGCTTGTGATAACACTGGACAGAGCTACCCGCGCAGACGCACATGAGGCAGCTGTGACTGAAATGCAAATGAGGTCAGCATTGTACCCGTGCTGTTTTCCTGGTTTTCTGGTTTTTTGCCCCACCCCTCCTTTTTTGGAGGTATAATTGACATACAGAATATTGGTTTCAGGCATAATTAGTTACTTAGCTTCAAACATAATGAGTCAGTATTTGTATATATTTTGAAATGATCACCACAGTGAGACCAGTTAACATCCATTGCCACCCATTGTTACAGAATTTTCCCTCTTGTGTCCCTGGCTTTGATACTGTACTGCAGCTGTGCGCAGTGCTGACGTGAGAGGTGGCTGGGTAAAGAGTGTGTGGACCTCCCTGTGTATTTCCCCGCAACTTTCTATGAATACGTAATTTCAAAATAAAAAGTTTTTAAAAATAGAAAAGGATGTTTATTAACAAGCTGGTGCTTTCAGTATGGCTGATGAAATCTGAATCTTTTAAAAGGAAACTAAAATTTGTGAAAGCTCTTAGTGTTAGGAAAGACGCATGACACCAAAAGTGCCTTGTCATTCTGGATTCATTACCTGTTGCCTTTCTGTTTCTCTAGGGAGCAGACTGGTGGCACAGGGATCCTTCAGAAAGATGGGACAAGATAAACAAGTTTCTATTGTACAGCACAGGGAACTATATTCAGTATCTGGTAGTAACCTATAATGAAAAAGAATATGAAAACGAATATATGTACGTATACGTATGACTGAATCACTGTGCTGTACACCAGAAATTGACACAACATTGTAAACTGACTATACTTCAATTAACAAATGAAAAAGGGACAGTGGCTGCCACTTACTGAGCAATTATTTCATGTCTGGCACTGGTCCTTAGGTGTGTTACTGCTAATTCTTACAAAAAACCTGTTTGACAGCTTAAGTAACAGATTAGATGAAAGTTTTTTTTTTAACCCTACCTTCTAAAAAGATTATTAAGCATATTAAGAAAATAAATTAAAAATGCAAGCTATTTTAAATATTTGCAAAGATGCCATTAACAGTATGAAGATTGTCAGTATTACTGTTAATTTCTCACGGGCATCAATGTCATTCTTGAAGTGTGCGTGTGGCACTCCTCTTTATATGCCTTTAATAGAAAATCAGACACAGAAAAGTGCATAAAACAGAAGCAAGCATCACGGGTTAGCAGAGCATCACGTAGTCACTGCCCAGGTTTAGAAACAGAACATTACCAGCACCCTCCAAGACACTCGGCCCTGCCTCCCTCCTTTTTGGGGACATCTTCCTCCTCTCAGAAGTTTCCCATACTCCTGACTTGGATGGTCATCCTTTTTTCTTCCCATAGTTTTACCACCTAAGTAAACATCTCCCGCTCTTTGATTTGATCTGGAATGTATTTAATCTGAAAACATGACTTTGGGTGTAATACTGGGACGTTTCTCTGTGATTCTTGCTCACATTTTGAATTTGAGGCAAATTGTAATGAAGTTTTAAAATGAAGATTTGCTCCTTACCCTGCGATGAAGCACCGCCGCCCTCAGCACTGGCTGGCCAGCCTGGCCGCTCAGGCCCAGAGCCGTGTCCCAGGCCTGCGGCGTGGAGGACCCCGCGGGGAACCCGGCTCTACTGCTAGACCTAATTTTGACCAACAAGTCTTTTAACTACATGCTATGTTTTCATTTCATCTTTTGTTTTAGACTCCTGACAAGATTTCTTGTTTCCTCCAAACACTTTTAAAATCTCCAGGAAAGGGAGCCCCACCCTTGGTACTTCATTGTCCCTGACCAGGCTCTCACCTCCAGTACAGACCTGTGAACCTGACTCGGAAGTGGGGGCTGTAGGTGGAAAGCCACTGGCTTGTGACTGAGGAGGGGCGGCTTTGCTTTCCTACTGACCCAGCGCCTGCTCCCGACCTCTGGGTTCCACGGCTCTCACCTCTAAGGGCGCAGACTGTCTGTTGGGGTCTGCCTTAAAGCGCCCCTGCACTCCGATGGCGGATTGTTTTTATCTAGGCCAGGTGAAGGGAATACTTAATTCATGACTCAGCCTAACCCGTTCAGGGCCTGTTTCTCATCTCACTCGTGACTGTGTGTGTTCACACAGTTGTCTCCTTGGCTCTACCCTGACACAGCACTTGCCCCATTACTACAGGACCTATTTTTACCCAAGCAAAAGCTTGCCTGGCCTGAGAACGCAGGTCTAAAGGAAAGTAAGTAAAACCTGTCCACCCTGCTTGTGATGTCTCTGAATATGTTAGTCCTTTGAGAAGAAAAACTCAGTCTGACCCTGCGTGGACTGTTTTCCAAACTCTTCAAATGTGAGTTGTTTCCCGTGACCATCACCTTCCTCACTACCCGCCCCCGGTGTTTGAATATAGACATTTGACTCACTTCTGCTCTACTACAAAAAGGACTGGGGGTGTATCTTAGCCCCTTAGGAACTCAGAGCCAGTCTGTTTCATGTCTATTTACTTGTTTGCTTCCAAGTTACCTTGTATGTGTCACGAGTAAGGACCACAGCAGAAGGCCTTGTTGAATTGCTGGTGATGCCGCAAACATTCCCAGCTCTGACAGATCTGTGTTGTGCAAGATTTAGGGGTAGAAGCCAGGCTGCTGCTGGAGGCTGCCTCCCCTGCTTTGACTCATGAGAAAATAGACCTTGAAGGGAATGGAGACAAGCAGGAGGCTTGCTGGCTTTGACAGTGTGATCGAGGTGTTCAGCTCCACGCAAGCAGTTGGTTCTTTCCTGCCACATCATTACTTATTCTTTGTCTTTGGGACAATTTTGTTTGGTTCTTTTGTACAAGGTTGAGGTGGGAGTGGATGAGACCATGAATTAGGAATACTGATAGCTGCTGGTCGTGACTTACCCTCTAAAGATACAATGGCTTGAACTCTGTGCGGTATGTGGATGCCACTTTGAAAGAACTCCCTCAAGGGGCTGTACCTTTGACCAGGTGGATATTTACTGGGCTCTCACATGACACTTGGAGGCTGAATAATGGAGTGATCTGTTTGTCTCCTCAAGGTCAGGGATGCTGGAAGCTGGAGTGGACAGAATTATTTGTCAGGTGGTGGATCCCAAACTAAACCACATCTTCAGGCCGCAAATAGAACGAGCAATTCATGAGTTCCTGGCGGCCAAGAAAAAAGAAGCCGTGCCAGCTCCCCCACCGGAGCCCGAGAGCCAGGACCCCGCAGCTCCAGCCCAGGATGCCTCCTAAGGTCCGGTATCCCGTCTGCCATCCGGGAGCCTTGCTCTCTGGCTTATAGATGAAGAAAATGGGTAGAAGAGGGGTAAGCCGCTACTGAGGATCATGGGTCTTACTTATTCAGAAAAGTATTTACTGCAAATGGGCTGCATTTTGTTATGAGTCGTTTTTTACCGAGAACCAATTAGTAGCATTTTCCTGTGTCGGTATGACTTTCTGTGCCAGAAGAGCTAACCATTTAAGCTATGAAGAGATGCTTCATTAGAAACCAGCTGGGGTGGTGGTTGTGTACAAGGCAAATTCTTGTTTTTCTGAAATTGCTTAAATGAGTCTCTCCCCTGGACGTGAGTTAACTCAGGTCTACAGTTTGAATATAAAATCAAGCGATGCATTTCTACAGCAGCATCCTAAATGGGGCTCGGCGTCTGCTGTGGTCCCGCTGGATTTCCTTGTATTTAGGAAGGATTTCAATTTACCACTCTCAGTTTCCATGGGATCCTTCTGTTGTGAGCACTCCTTTTTTTAATTACATTTGAAATTTAGTTCTAAAAGTCAGCAGTAGATGCACAAAACAATGCGTTTGCAGGGGCTGGGAGACATAAGTAACGTAAGCAGTGATCACCAGGTAAGCAGTGGTGGGCTCTGCACTTAGCCATCGTTAGTGACCATTAGGGTGTGCTTCATCCCCTCGTTCTGCTTTGGTGTTCTCTTTGTGAGATTCTTTAAGACATCTGTTATTTTGATAGTAGATAAGCATCAGTGAGTGAACAGAGTAAGAGCCTCCGGCCCAGGTAGGGGCGTTCAGGAGAGAAACTTGCTCCTTGTGCCTGTATTGGGGAAAGACCTCAATTCCGTCATGGAGTGTGAAACATTCATTTCAAGTCTTTCTCTGTAGAGTAATTGTAACTCCTTTAGGAACATAAAATGAAACAACACAAAACTAACATTTTGAAATGATTATCTTTTCTTTTTAGAATATGCCTCAGCTCCATTGAATTAATGGTGAAGAACTGGATTCGGTTACTTAAGAGTACAGCTTCAAAATGCAGACAGGCCAAGGTCATCTCTGACTTCCAGATTCAATTTTGACTGTGTGGCGGTTTCCAGGGAGAACGGGGAGCAGGTGTAGCAGTAGGAAAGTTGACCGTGCCTGCCCCCACATCGTGCTGCCGTGTGGACAGCCTGTCCGAGGAGATGACAGCCAGCAGACACTACAGATAAACTGAGAAACACTACCGCAACCTGGGGTTGTCCTGAAACAAACCTTTATACTTGAACTTGGAGGTTGTGTGGACTTTACGGTTTGTGCTTGGGGAAAAGCAAAAGCTGCAGTGCGGGAGCATGACCAGCCCCGAAGGTGCAGCCTCACAGTGACGGTCAGGGTTCCCGGGGACAGGTATTCGGTGACGCTTGTTTGATTGGTATTGTTTCCCAGAGCTGCAGACTTAGTTGACAGGCATTAGCATCAGACGGCTTTAAGATCGTTGTGACCCTCTCATACGTGACTCTTGTAACCTCAGTTTCCTTTCCCCTGTAAGTGGTGTCAAAACATGGGACCCCAGAATGCGTGAGGAAATGCAGACTTAGGCATAAAGGAAAAACATTTGCAGGCTCTCTGTCCAGGGCTGCTGCTTATCCTGCAGGGGCTAGTGAGCCTTGGACGTCTTTGTTGTCTTCATGTTTGTGGTTTTTAGAAGGTGAATAGTCAGTAAGTGGCTTGAGTTTTGTAATAAAATCATTTGATACTCTTACTGTGAAGCCTCAGCGAGTCCTTAGACCCCAGTGTGCAGAGCAAGCCTTTCCCCCTGCCTGTGCCATTCCTGTGCACAACACGTGACTTAGTGGCAGGGAAGGACTGGTAGGCTTGCCTCAGAACTGCCATCGTCCTGTAGGTAGAGCTGGGCGCGGGCAAGGCGTCCTCTCTTCCCCTGGACCATCGCTGATGCTGGTCTTTAATTAAGGGTCGTACACGCTGTCAGTGTTTCTCAGACTTGAGTTTGCAGAACTGTCTCCTAGGGATTTTAGCGGGGAAGATGCGTATTCTGACTGAGAAGTTCTCGGGAGACCTGAAAGTGTTTCTCTCAAGTTCCAGGTGGTGGAGGCACTGCTGACCATCGGCATTTTGCATCTCAAGCTTTGGATGGTCAAAAGTGACTTCAAACTAAGAGTCTTCGGTTCTTAGTTGAGTCTGCTTCTGGATACTGTTGCTCGAACTTTAACCTGCGTAGACTTCCACCTTTACCATCAGTACCTGTAAACGAGGCCTGCGCTGCCATATCCAGCAAGGCGTTTGAGCAGCATGTGCCCTCATTTTAAAGCAAGCCGGCCACGTGTTCAGGGCAGTGGCAGTTAACGTCCAGGGTGTGTTCTTTTTCCAGCTGAAACAGGTTGCTGTACTTTTCAGTTTGGGAGTCAGTAACCAGGTCCTCAGCACCCAGAGGAGGGCCCCCCTAGTCCTCACTCCCCTGAAAGGTAAGCACAGGGTGACCAGTCTTACCAGCCATGCTTTGCAAAGAAGCTCCTCACACTGGTACCCCCTCTTCAAGACCATGAGAGGCGTCTGCTCCAGGAGGGAGATCTCAGCAGAGCCCCTCTGTCAACCCGGCCAAAATCCTGTGCATCCAACATGACCTCAGCCCAGTGCTGGAGAGGGCGGGATAGAGCGACCCAGAGAAGGCTTCATCCTTCTGCCCCCAAGTGCCCAGCTGACTTATGCTGGGTGTACTTTTTGGCAGACAGTTTTCGGTCCACCTCAGTTCTCTCTTTTCCGTTACTAGAGAAGCGTGTACCGGTTGATGAGAAATACCCTCATTTCCACCGAATGTTAAATGTGCCATGACACCAAGGATCACTGTTCTTTTTCATCACTGTTACATCCACTAAAAGTAAACATAGGCTAGAGATAATTTTTTCAAATGAAACCATCGGATTACAGAGGTAACCGAACACATCACTACTGTTGAGACAGAAGGACTGACTTTGGCTCTTAGCTGAACCAAGTTGAAATGGAAGCGGTGCCCATATTCCCTTGAACAATTGTAGTCTAGCCGGCAGGCCGGGTAAGCGAGGTGAGACAGACGCCACTAGAGGGGCTGGGAAGGCCGCACCAGCTCTGCCCGCTCCGGAACCCGCCACCAGCTAAGCCTGCCGGCATCCTCAGCGCAGTCCTGGTGCCTGGGTGTCAGGTTAGGCGCGCAGAGCCTGAGATAAGGTAGGAGACGTCCTCCCTGAGGAAGGTGAGGCCACCTAAACAGCCTTGCTGCATTCACTCCTAAGCAAGAAACCAGTCGTCCCGGACTGCAAGGCTTCTCTCCCTGTAGTTGGAAAAATCACTGCCATTTGCAGAAGCCTCATGAAGCGCAGAACTGACCTCTGTAAGACATTCACAAATGCTGCCAATGAGAAACCATCGAGGCCTTGGAGTTAGAGTCACGATGACTTTAAGAACCCCATGCTCATTTTTGGAGTCCAGTCCTTTTGCCTGGGGCGGCGTCCACAGTTGCTCCCGGAGACTGTCGCCCCAGGATGTTTCCAGTTAATGGGCCTAAGTGCTTGATCAGAGTTGCCAGCCCACCCTGTCCGCCCAGTCACGACTGATTAACTCCTTCTTGGCTTGTAGTGAAGTTTGTTCAGATTTTCAGGCTGCTTCTGCCGTTTAACCTTTAATTTGTTTCTGTTTTACTCATCAAGGCACGTAGGGGTCCCCATATCACCCACTAGCGCTGAGGGCTGAATAAACACTGGCAGACTGAGTGCTTCCGACAGCATCGTCCCCCAACCTACGTCACCCATCAGCCTCAAATTGTTAGAAATGCAGCCCTGACCCCAGACCTCCCGAGTCAGAGACCTGGGGACGGGGCAACAAGTTTTCCAGATGATTCCGACGCACGTTAAAAATCATTTTCACTTAACGAAACCTTTTTGGAAAGTTGGTGATGCTGACTGTTAATGACAGTTTATTTGTGGGTAAACATAGTGTCTGGTGGATAAAATCAGTGTCTCTTCTAACAGCCCCTGAGGAGCAAGACTATCATCTCTCGCTCTCCCCCCCCCCTTTTTTTTCCAGTTGTCCCATTATTCCCTTGCAAGGACTGTGCATTTGGCCATTTTGACTGAGAGGTGTCGGCATGTAGTTTAAAGCTCCTAAGCTTTCAAAAGCTATAAGCAGTCTTGAAAGTGAGTTCACTAAGCAGCTCAGAACTTCGGCAGGAACTCTGCAGAAAGGCCTTCAGCGGTTACTAAAGATACAGGAGAGAGGTCTGTGGGGTCCTGGCAAAGGTCAGGGCCCGGCCTGTGCCCGAGGCTGGCGCTGAGGCTGGACGTGAGAATTACGCCTGGATCAGCGCTGGCAGGCGGCCAGGCCCTGCCTCCCTTGGCTGCCCTGCGGCTGCTGCTGCTGGGGTGGGAAACAGACAGGAAAAGCTGGCGCGGGCGAGCTTGCTTTGGCACCGTGCACTGCGCCCTGTCCATCACCTTACCCGTGGAGGAGCCAGGTCAGCTTTTACGGTCGCATCACCGGGGATGGGCTCAGCTCCAAGGCCATGCGGTAATAATTACCCATCCTCTCAAACGGGCCACGCCGCCTGCAACCTAGCCAGCCTTTCTGACTCCAGTCTCCAAGCTCCCGTTTGGCCGTCCTTCCTGAAACACTGCTTTCATCAAGTATCTCCCTCCCTCACAACCTTTGAAAGGAAGAAGTAAGTGAACCAGGCGCCTGCTTCGTTTCATTCTCATGAGCCTATTAGGTGGGATCTAGCCCCCCTCTCATGGATGAGGAAACCGAGACTCGGGGGCGAGGAAGCGTCTGTCTTATTACACAGCTTTTAAGTAGGGAAGCAAGGTTTGAACCTAAGCCTCTTGAATTCAAAACCCACAATTGCCCATCCACCCTCTCTGCTGCTCTGCCTCCCTGTTACTTAACAGAACAAGATCAAGCTTGTCAGTCCTCCAGGGTCCACCCTCCATTCCAAAGGTGGGCCAAAATCAAACCAGCTTGGCCTCCTCCACCTCAACAACACACCCCCTTAGTTCCAGCCAGCCTCTGCTCCCCTCACTCCGGCTTATGTCACAGGGCAGAGTTTGCAAACTGACAGGTTCCTCTGCTGTCACCGTGTGGGACGTGCAGGAGCCACTGGCTGGCTTCACCCGTTTCCATCACCCTGCTGGCCCCTGCAGACATGTGAGTTGGAAATACTTGCCCTAGGAAGTCACTGTCTCGTGATTACTTGAGGTTATTCAAAAACATCTCTTCAGCTGGATGGCCAAATCTTCCAAACTTTAATTTTTCCATAAGAGAGCAAGTTTTTAAGCTACCTGAGTTGGGTTCTAGAATCTTCAAGATGGAAAGGGAGCCTGAGGTGCCCTCAGGTCCCCGTCTGAGGGTCCAGACAGAACCACCCGAGGATGCATGGAGGCCACACACAGGATGTAGACACAATGGAGAGGTGGGCGCGAGGTACGGCGAGGAAGTAGACTGGGAAACCAGCACCCGGTGCCCTTGGAAGCCTCTCAGGGGCACCCCGACTGGCAGTCTCCCCAAGCCAAGGCCAGAAGACGGCCAGTCTGTGTAGCTAATCAACGTATGTAGCTTAAAATTTTGTAAATGGGAGTGCGGGCTAGCGGAATACACTACCCCAGTATATGACCGCGGGAGCTGAGGGAACACTGTCCCGAAATAAGCTGCTCCGGCACCTGGATTACTGTGAGCTGTTGGCGCTTGGAAAACAGCAAACTCAGGGAGAGGCTTTCTCTGAACTCCTCCCAAAGGGACTCAGTTGTCAGATTCCCCTCCCTGGGGTTTCACCGACCAGAGAAGACTGACTCTCATCACAGGGGAGGAGCTTAGCGGCTGACTCTCATCACACACGCACACCTCCCGGAAGTGCCCGTTCACCTTTCCTAAAAACCATTTTCTCTCCCCTCCGAGGCCTACATCCTCTCCCCCGTCTCTCTATTAAGATGGTATTTAAAGCTTGAATTCTAAGCCACCTCGGGGAGTAACTGATTTTTTCCCTAAGTATCTCTCACGTATCCACGAGGTATACATGGTCATAAACTTCTTTTTCTCTTGTTAATCTTTTATTATAGGAGCCGCAGCTAAGAACTCAGAAAAGTAGAGGGGAAATTATTTTCTGTCTCCTACAAGAGCAATAGATTGAATATAGTAGAAGTTAAACAATGACCAGAGAGGCCGAACGCGGCAAGGTTTATCCAGCACTTCGAAAACAGCCCATTTGAGTCTCTATAAAGGCAATTCGGGGGGGTGGGGTGCGGGGGCAGGACAGGGGTCAGGGCAGGGGGAGGCCATCAGATTCAGCCTGGCCTGGGGCCTTAACAACACGGCCGTCCCCACGACAGGCATAGGAGCTCACAGGCGGTGCGCCGGGTAACGGCTCGGGCTTTGGGTGCTGACTGCCAGCTGGTGCTGCAGCTGCGTTCGTGTCGGTGGGTTAGGTTCCTGCTGCGGTGAGCGATGAAAGCAAACACCCAAATCTCACCCGCCTGACACAAGTCTCCCCCTCGCACAGCAGGGCTGCGATCCCGGCGATGCTCCCGGGCGACTGCTCCTCCTGCAGCAATTGAGTGCCCAGAACCCCAAGACCCCTTCTACTGGAGCCCAGCAGAGGAGGAGGGAGGCGGGAGGTCTCACCGAGGGACGGAATGATTTGGCCTGTGAGTGGCACCTGTCACGCTCGCTCACAGCCCATTGGCCAGAACCAGGCACGTGCCCTCCCCTCGCTGCGAGGGGACAG